AAAATCCGATATAGCAAAATCCTTTACCTTTAGATAAGCGTACCAATGGTAAAATATCTTAACTATAAAAAATAGCAACATATCTAAAATATGTACATTTCATTTCAAATTGAATTAAAATCCATACTTTTTGTAAGAATTTTCAAATTTAATTAATTTATTAAAATTATAAATTCAGTTTCAAATGACATTTAGTTTATATTCACCCAAAATTGACAATGTATATTTATAAGATAATCAATTTGACTATCTTGGGTAGCATTAATCCACTCATAAAAAATTATTGATTATTATACATTGTATATGTTTATGATCGACTCAGTTAATATTTAACAGGCATGGAGTAAAAGTCAAGAATTTTGACTTAATAACATGTAGTGGTATGTTACACAAAAAAAATATTCATTGGTTGGTTAAAACATTTGCTCATAGCTCAAACTTCCAGAGCATTTAGATTATACGAGAGAGTTTTTAATTTATTAATATATATTATAGAAACATAAGAAATTCAAATATCCAAAATAGTTTAAGTATATGATTCAAATGAAATACATCCCGGCCAATAGGCCGGGCACAACTCTAGTTAATGTTAAAAGAATTTGAATAATATATGACTACCACTAATTGAAAACGAAGGAGAAAATTCCGCCTTCAGTTTTTTCGCAAGAAAAAAAAAAAAAAACTTCGCCTTCAATTTTTTTCCCTCTCCCCTTTCTCCTTCCTTCTTCCTATTACCCAATTTCCGTAATTCGTTTCCTCTTAATTCCGATTCCAACTATTACTTCTCATCTCTTCTTCTTATTCTCAATTCTGAATCTGAATCCAACTTCTCTTCTTTTCTCATTCCCTCGTTTCCCTCTTTGCTACTTCTAGATCTAGAATCAATGTTCGACAACTCATTCTTGTTTCGAGGATGCAGCGAGCAATTCCTTGAGAGCGATGAGCGATTCTGCTTGGCGGCGATTCTGTTTAGATTTGGCCGGTTCCGGCGAAGCGAGATGGTGCGAGAGCGATGAGCACCTCCTCATGTTCTCAATCTAATTATGCATTTCATTATGAAATCAGAAGCTTAGAGAAGCTTGACAGAAGGAGTTCTTCATTTCGTATGATGTTTGGGTTCTAGGTGTTTGGATTTGATTCATTTAGATTTTAAGGAATTATTCTTACTCTTTTTGGTTGTTGCTAATCAGTAGATGGTTCATGCATATGGTACTGGTTAGTTATATTGATGATCTTCTTGAAGCTAAAACAAAGGTATTGGATCAATAAATGCATTTTAAATGATCTTTGGGGAGGGGAATTTTCACAATTGAGATCATGACCAGAATTATGCCTTCCTTTTTGACCTAGAGAATGGATAGTTGTAATGCTAATGTTGGATGCCAATACTGGTACTAAAAGAATAGTTGATGGTCAGCTATTCTTGAATGGTAACTTAACAAGCAAAAATTTTGTTCTTCGTTATATAAGATTTGAGAATAGGAGAGTTAAGAGCTCATTTTGGATCTAATTCACATTTCAGCAATTCATAATTTCCTTTGATTTTGTTGAACACAGAAGTTGATGTTGCTGATACAGTTACTGAAGAATTTTGTTTTACATGGAGGTTACTTGGGCTGAATTTCTCGATAACGACAGGTTAGTGGGTGGTTTATAGATTCTAGTTTTAGTCCTGCTAGCTATTTCTCTCTTTGTTAACAAATGGCTATTGTAGCTATCTTCACCTTTTCAAGAGATCTGGAATCTGGAAGTTTGTTTGTGTTTGTTCAGGTACACGCCAGGAGGAGTAATGGTGGGGATTTATGATTGCTTTGTATATGCTTATTGATCTTATGAGTGATGAACCGAATGGATGATGAAGTCATATCCATAGAGTAGCTAGCTACCTGATTACCTAGTAGTACTGTTTGGGTCAATTAAGTAAAATGCCATAATTTGTCAACGAAGTTCAAGACTGGATCTGCTTTTTTTCTAGCTTACGTTAGTTTTGTTGCTACTCTGTTGTAAGATAATTTGAACTCCATGAAATTGGCAGTATGTGACTGATTGTACGAGTGAAGCTTTTAATTTACTGTCGTTGTGATTCATTCAGGCTTATCAGAGCTTGTTTGATGAGCTAACTCTGTTGCCGTGAATGTGGTGTTATAACCCTCAACTCCAGTTGCCAGGTTTGGTTCTTTTTCTATATAATTACTTTGGTTTTATTGCATAATTTTTGAAGGTTTATCTGTGTCTTATGCTTCTTTTGTTTTTGGGTTCTTTCTCCTTCACTTATGCCTTCACTGAAATCATGTGGATCTTCACATAGCCATCCATAATGTATATCTATTTGTGGTTCTTCTTTTATGCTCTTGGTTCTGTTTTATTTCGAAATCCTTGAGAAATTGCCCTGTTTTTTGAAGACAAGGATTTGAATTTAAATAGTAATCCACATTCACCATTTCCTTTCTTAAAGTCTTGGACTAGAGCAACCTTGATCCTTCTTCCTGAAGCTCTTTCTCTGATTTAGCATCTTCTTTTCTCTTAGTTGAAGTCTTGGACTAGACCAACCTTGATCCTTTTCTCCTGAAAAGGGAACTGTTAGATTTCATGTGTCTTTATCCAGTTCTTAGAGTTCGAGCTTCTCTTAAGATCATGAGTAAGATAGCTGATTCTAGAAAGAAGAAGACCCTGCAGGATAAAGTATGGAAGCACAAAATTTCACTTGTATGTTTCTTTCGTTCTTTTGCTAATGTTACTCATGGGATACTTTATAATCTGCTCAGACCTATATTAGTTGGTGTGTAGTTAATTTGCTCATCTTTAAGTTTTCTTTTTCCACTCCATGCTATACCTTCTAATAGTATGTCATTTTGGTATCATTGATTAAATATGAGGATGTGCGTTTTAACTATGAGTGTATAGTACCCACAGTTAAAGAAATTTTTCGTTGCATTAGGGCTCTGCACCATTAGGCCCCATTTAATTAGGAAGCCTCTGTAGCCCTGTTATGCTGGCTGGAAATTGGATTTACATATTGAATGAGTGTCTAGATGCTTGAGCTAGCTAGTTCATTCTCATTTCTGAGTGTCTTTTCATCCGTGCTACTAGAAGTAGAAATGCTTATGCTCCTCGGCATGTTGCAAGAATTGAAATGACTTGCCCAAGCACAAAGTTAATTTCCAAATGGAGACGTTCAAGTTAAAACCCTAGCTTTGAGTGCTGATGTCGGTGCCAAATAAATGTCTTCTTCTTTTGGTTCTGTATCTTCTTCTTATTTCAGTTCTGTATCTTTAATTTTACTTTCTTTCCTTTTGTTTCTTCTCTGCATGTTACCTTACATCAGCAGCAGAAGGGAACTTAAAGTGGAAGTGAACTTGAGACTTGAGAGGATGATAGCCCTTGAAGTTGTGATACATCATCGTTCAACACTGGGGTTACTTTGGTGAGATTCTACAGAGGAAACAATTATGTAATTGTGAATTTTGAAATAGTTGATTGATTCTTAGTGATAATATTATGTAATTGTGAATTTTGGCTACTAAACAATAAATTGTGTAAATGCATTAATAAAAATATTCTTATATGAAATAATTTCTTATTATAATCCTATTTAATGTTTAATATTTAATTTTAGTGACCAAAATCTCATTGACCAAATTGGTCGTCATATGAATATTTGGTCTCTATTCATATAATTTACAACCAATTATTATGGTTTTGTTAAACTTTTATAACTAATAAAATTAGTTACCTAAAATAATATGATTGGTCGGCATATGGATTTTTTAAGACAAAATTTTATGGTTGTATAACAAAATGATTAGTTGCCAAAAATAATATGATTGGTTAACATATGTATTTTTTGCGACCAACTCTTAAGGTTGCGTTAAACTTCCATAACTAAAACTATTGGTCACCAAAGTACTTAAATTGGTTGAGGTATGTGTTTTTCACGATCAAATTTCATAGTTATTATAAATTTTCATGACCAAAACAATTGGTTGTCATAATGATATTATTGGTTGACATATGTTAATTTAACGACCAAATTAAATAGTCACGTATAAAACCTAACAACCAAAATAGTAGGTTACTAATAGTCACATGAAATTGGTTGTCATTTGTATTTTTGGCAAACAATCACCAACATTTCCCAACCATTAGGTTGACTATGACAACCAAATTAAAATGGTTGCGAAAAAACATGGGTTTTTTACCCAGGGAAAAATTGGTTACGATAGCTTTCTTTTCGCTACAAAGTACTACTTTGGTTGCATTAGGTATTCGTAACGCGGCTATAGCGACCAATTCTGCAACCAAACTATTTGGGTTGCGTAAAAGTATTTTATAACCAATTTTGGACATTTAGAGACCAATTTTATTGGTTGTAAAAAGCATATTTTCTTGTAGTGCTAGAGGGTGTTGATCATTTGGTTATGGCAATTCAAGAGCAGCATAATTGTGGCAGTGAGTCTGAGTAAACAAGTACCTATGGTGATGAGAATGCCATAGAGAATGTAATAATTGTGGATGAAGATGCGCCCATGGTCATTAAAGAACCGGAAATTTAGCTCAGTTAGGACAAAATGAGGAAGAAACTTCCAAGCAGATAGAGAAGGTGATCGATGAGAAGTGACACCAATTATGAAATTGAAGAAGAGAGCCATGGACCAAATGTTCTTAATCTTTTGTTGTCTTTGTTTGGTTGTCGTGTTCTTATTACTTTTATAATTAATATAAAATGGTTTGTTCGACTATCAGCTGGGATCTGTTGTTAAACGAGAGGATGTGGATTTACCAAGTCATAGTGGCATTCATAGAGTTTTGGACGTTTACTGCAACTTCTTCCTATTTTCGTACAAGGAAATTGGAAGTAATATCGTAGTACTTGAGTTACATGCTTTCACAACACTTTTATGGCATGTACAATATTGATGTTAATTTTAGTGGTCATCTAAAATAATTCCACAAATATTTAGCTTGCTCAAAAATTTTAAAATCATACCATTGTCAATAGCACAACAATATTCAGTTTGTTGTTATCTAAACTAGTCACCATACGATCATGCTATTACAACCTTAGTTCCTGCGGCGGGTAGTGGTTCTAGCATGTAATTAAAGATTAAGAGAAACAAGAGAATCATCACCTGATTGTGTGTTTAACTATATATAATAACTTGCATTCCGAAGTAAACAACAATAATATAGCTCTCGACAAACCATCCAATGCAATTGATAATACCAACCAAGTAATTAGGAAATTAAACAATTGACACAAATTAAGTAACAAGTGATGTGAAAGATGGAGGTGAAATGATAGCTAGCTAGGTTTGCAAGTGGTGGATCAGTTTTGGCCACCATCATTGGGAGCAGTTTGAGTGGCATTAGACATGTAAAGGGAAGCAGCAGTGGGATGGGCGGCATTCGCAAGCAATGGCAATGGAGACTCACTACCGATACCTGCTCCTCCTCCTCCTCCTGATGTGGAAGGTGGGCCTGATAAATTGATGCTGGTGTGCGGCACCGCCACTGGGGGAGCAAACAGTAAGTATTCCTCAGGTGTGGGAGCAGGATACTTGGAGATGAAAGCATCACGCGCCATGTCCAGATTCAACGCTTGCATCGCAACCCGCATGGGTGGCCTGTGTTTGGGATCGGGATGGGCACAGTGCAGACCCACCATCAACAACGACTCCATCTCCAGGTTTTCATGACGATCATCAATATTATCTTTGAGCGTTGGATCGGCTGCATTGAGAATATTTCCCTCGGAATTCAGCTCTGAAACCCACTTGGCTAGGTCCTTCTTTCTTCCTCCGCATGCGATTTCCAGCAGCACTAGCCCGAAACTGTAAATGTCCGACTCCTTGGTTGACTTGCCCGTCTTGGCACACTCCGGGGCCACGTACCAAGGGGTGTGACCCGATGCTTTCTGCGGCCCGGCTGCTTGCTGGTCTACGATGAGGGCTAGGCCGAAATCGCCAAGCTTGGCATTAAAATTGGAGTCAAGGAGGACGTTGCTAGGCTTGATGTCCCCGTGCAAGACGATACGGCCCCCTTGCCCCTCGTGCAAATGGGTTAGCCCTCTAGCCACGTCCCCTGCGATGCTGTACCTTTTCTTCCAATCCAACCCAGAATCACCTCCTTGACGACGGATCAGATGTCCATCCAAACTCCCTTCCGCCATGTACTCGTAGATGAGGTAGAAGGAACCCTTGTCGTTCTCGAATGACCAACCCATTAATTTCACCAGATTCTCATGATTCAACTGGCTAATCGTGGACAGCTCCGACATATACCCTTTGAAATCACTGTCCTTCTGCCCTGATATCCTCTTCACTGCAACCAACTCACTGCTGCCTTGGAACTTTCCCCTGTACACCACCCCGTACCCCCCACTTCCCAGGTGCTCGCTCCTGCTGAACTCCTTGGTAGCGTTCCTAATCTCCAGTGGGCTGTAGAACTTGATTCCATGGTTGTTGTTGCTGCTGCTATTCTCCTCCACCTGCTTATTCATTCCATTGCCTAGCCCTAGGGGAGCCGACGGCGAAGCCTGCTGATGCTTAACAACATTATCTCTGTGCTGCCACGGCCGCCAAATAATCAATGCAACAATACCAACGAAACCTACTACTCCCGCCACGCTCGATCCCACAATCATTGTGGCCTTGCTCTTCTTCTTCTTTTTCCCTACAGCGCCACTACTACTACTGCCTGTGGTGGTTGTGGGTCCCCCCTCGGCGTCCAAGTCGGAGACGAAGGACCACGACTTGAGGGTGTGGGATTGGTACCGCCACGCTGTCGACCCGGAGAAGCCAACCACAGCCCACTCCGCCAGGTAATCCCTCAGGTCCACCTCATAGCACAAGCTGTCCCTGGGAACCTCCGTCAGGTTCTCCGTCAGCCCTGTGAAGGTAGCGCACAGGTTCCCGGCCTCGTAAGAGATCTGGGCCCACATGGTTGTGCTCCCGTCGGAATAACTCTTCCACCGCTTGCTAGCAACGGACTGTATGGAGTTGAGGTCGACCCCAACGTGGCTGAGGTTGCTCCACACGTCCCACTCCGGGTTGTTGTACGTGTCGAACTCCACGGCCAGGAAGGGGTTAGCCGACGCGTTGTAGGTGTGGTTGCCATCCACGAGGCCCAGGAGGCCCGTGTTGGCGGATGTCCCCGGGAATGTGTAGTTGTGGGAGGCGATGAAGAATGCAAAGCCGTCGCAGGTCCAATCGCCGTTGCTGTTGTCCATGGAGAAGGTGAATGTGGTGGTGAAGTTGGAGAGCTTTCCGTTGGAGGCGTCCCACAGCCGCATGGGCTTCGAGTACTGGGCCTGCCCGGCTGTGTAGTACTGGAAGCCCGTGACCTGAACCCCGGATTTTACGCAGGTCGCGTCCCCGGCCAGTTTCACGGCGTCGGTGCACTGCTCGAAGCTGGTGTAGTTGAATGACAAGGGCGCCGCGTGACCGATTGATAGGAGCCACCACCACATTGTTGCCATTACCAAAACTACTTTGATAGCTTCCATCTCCATCGATCGATCTTGTTTCTTCCCTTACCCTGCCCTACCTGGTGGCTCCAAACTCTTTCGACCAAATACTCCTTGTCCTTATCTACATAACCAATTTCCCAACAATAAAATTTGTTAGTAATGGAACTTGCACAGAAAAACATATCATTATTATCACTACTACTCAGCTTGATGACAAAGAATAATCTCGAGCATGCTCCACCAAATACTCTTGTAAGAAAATGAAAAAAAAAAAAGCTTCATGTACAGCCAATCCTGTTAATAACTCTCCTTAGCGGTATATGGGATACATATAACTTTTTCCCCCGATTAATTAATTTTAACTGCTATATTATTTTGTTTTAAGTCGTAAATAAACTTTTTATACAGAAAAATGACATCTACTTTGATAAATTTTTCAACAAAACAACCGATACATATATTACCAGTCTATACCATAATGGTAATATTTGATAGTACATAAAATTATACTATGGTGAGATGGATATATCATAGTATATAATGGTTAAATACATGATTGTATGAATGTATAAAATACTATTGATCAAATTTAACCAATGTCTACCACCATTTATCACTCTTTCCCACTCACCCTCCTCCCAAGAAATTTGTATATCACAATAGATCAAGACAACCCTGTTCCAAATTTGTTTCCCATTTTAAATTAAAAATGAAGGTTGTACATAGTGGTTCTAGGGTTGTAGCAAGTGGTAATTTTTGAATCCATGTTAACACAAATAAGATACCAATCGATTAAAAGAGGCAGAAAAAATAAAAGGTTTTAAATCAAAATGAAAACGTTAGATATGATTTGTTATAATTGCATGACCAAGGATTATACACCTGTAGCTCACTCATTCGAGTAATGGTTTATTTCTCCAGTTTTGATTTATATCGAATCATAATACTCATGAAACATAGACTACTTTGACTTCTAATTACGCTGGAGCCTATTGCCCCTTTTAGTAATCATTCTGTTTTTTGTTTTCTGGACAACAAAAAATAGAATCGGAAAGAAAAGTAAAATTGTTGTTATCTAGAAAACAAAAGCCGAAGAAAACTTGTTTTGTTGAGAATTATAAAGACTTTTGAAACTGAAATCTGAATACGAAAACTAGGAAAAATAAAAATGATTTTTAGTTCTCCATCCTTAGATTTGAATTTTCTAAATGAATGGTCTAGATTTGGTTATTAATGGGTGCACCCTATCTTAAGCCCTGCAACGAAAAACCTTGGGTAACAAATTTATCCTTTTATTTTTTTTCTTCTTTTTGCTTAGGAATTCTTACGGATTAGCCACATATGTGAGGTGTGCCACAACAATAACCGTCGTGGACTCAAAAACAAAACAAGTAGGAGTAGTCATATAATTTATCAGTGTAATAAAAGATAATGACTAATGATAGTGTAAGTGTATACCAAATAAAAATATTATTATACAATATTAATCTAAAGATTCCTTTTATTTTAGTAATAGTGTTATTTGGCAGATCTAAAACAGCACGCGAAAACACGCAAGTGATGGCAATGGGTCGGGATGGGACGGGTACTTCAATACACATGCCCTGCCCCGCGCTAGTATGGGTCGGGGCGGATAAGGGGCGGGGCGGGTCGACCCACTCTTACATGCTATTTGAGAAAAATACACACTAAATTTTACTTTTAATGATAAAACGAAATGGAAAAGAGTTTATGAATGAATAATTGTGATAATATAATGGGTAACTGAGTTTATTTAGTTGAAAGATCAAGTCTAACTAGTTGAAGAAAAACCAAAATAGGAGATATATGAATGGATGGGGTAAGAAATTGACCTAGAACAGGTCAAGAATAGGGCGGGGCGGGTAAGGGCGGGTCGAAAGTTGATACCCATGCCCCGCCCCACGCTACTGCGGGTCGGATAATAACCGGCGGGGCGGGTTCAACTTTTTTATTTATGGATCAATGCAAGCTAGGGCCACTACATAAATAAAATTTAGCTAGGATTCGGACTGTATTTATCTTCTTAAAAAATATATTTTTATTTAATAACTGATTTATATTTTCTTCATTTTACCTACGAGTTTACAAATATTACACAAAGTAAATGGATTAATTGAAATCAAGAAAAAAATATTTATTTTTGTATATGTTGGGAAACAAAATGCTAATAAAGTATTCCACCATGGTATTCCAATAGAACTGAAGTATGTTTTTAGTATTTACCGAATGAAAAAATTGTACGACCATGTACTCTTCAACTTTTCTGTAAATTAACATGATTCTTATAGTTCCAAAACTTTTTTTAGAACAAAATTAGCTTAAAATATGTACAAAATCAATAGTACAAAATGGTAGCTGCAATGACACTGGAACCCAATTTAAAGCTACTGTGTATTCTAGTGTTAACCTGGCAAAAACTATGCGCGAAAAATAATAATCAAAGGAGAGGTACAGACTACAGATGCATCAAGGAGAAAGGAAATGAAGGAAACTAATCATAAATAATTAAATAGATAATGAGTACTACCGTTATGGATGAACAGAACAGAACAGCCATAAATAATTAATTAATTAATAATAATGAAAGAATAGGAAGAAGCATACCCCTCCAAATCCAACACACGATTCGCCGGTGGCTGGGCTGGGCTGGGCTGTGGGTTGGGCTGGCTAAGCTAGGCTAGCTGAGTAGTGCTGGATATCGCCGGCCCCATCGGTTAGCTAATTCCTTAGAGGACAAGAAGAAGAAGAAGAAGAAGCTGCCGATCGAAGAAGACAGGTTTAGAAATGCACAAGTAAGCGGTGGCGGTGGAGCTATCAGAGAGACGAGAGGTGGCGTTGTTGTTCAACCAGACTCCCCATTTTATCAAGGGTTGGTGTTGCATTGCAGCTTCCTATTCTGCGCTGCAAGACCTAAGAAAGTTGACCCTCTGCAGGTTGACGGAATAAAAAATGACCCGCAACTTGGTCCATATTATACATTATATACGAAACCATTCAAACAAAATATTTAATTCCATACAGCTGTTAATTATTATTAACTGAAATCCTCATCCCCAGACCAACCTTTTTTATCTGCTTTTCTTCTCTTAGTTATATGTACGCATCACATCTTATCAATTTACCTAGCTATCTCCTTGTTTTATATTTTATTTTCTTAAAATCTCAAGAAACCAAACCCTCCTTGCTAAAGTTTATCAAGGGAAGTATTTACGAAATGGATCAATTCTCGATATAGGGTGGAGTCTTGGCCTTCAGAGTCTCCTTCATGGTTGTGAGTTGCTAGCCCTGGTTTTTACCATTGACTCCTGAGATTAGGGACTTGGTTCTCTTGTAAAAGGAATGGAGACGGTTTCTATGCTGCATGCAAGGTCTAACTGTCTAAGTGATTGTAATTAGTGTATGGATTGTCTATCTTTTCGGTTGCTTTTTTGAGAGGACAGTGCGTGCAATTCAGGGCATCCCATTACCTCATAGCTAGATTGGTCTGGCTAAGAGATTCATTTAACAAATTCATTAAATATGGATATTAGACATTTTATACGGGTTGAATACAAGGGCTATCAAATAAATGGAGAAAAATGAAATCGGAGAAAGACTCTGAGATAGTCATAGTTCCATTCTTCGTTGAAGACCAGCTCTGCAACGATCATGTCGAATTAACAATAATACATATGTGAAATTTTCAAACGGATAAAATACGAGTACGTGTATGAAAGAGGGTATTTACTAACTATGCTTACATTTTTTTTTTATATTTATCAAATTTCATCCATATTTAATATTTTTGTTTTTCATCTACTTTTTCCTGTGCAGATTTTTTAAAATGAAAGGAAATTGTGCGGAAATTAATTGATATCGCGTCATCCGCGGTTGTAAGCAAAATAACGATATTGCGTCATCCCATTTGGTCACTCTTTAGATCACCTCTAGAACCCCGTTGACATTTCTAAGGCTACAGCACGTAATTGTCATTATCATTTTAATTTCCTTACTCACAAGCGATATCATTATTGGATGAGAAGGTTGTTTTAAATACTCCCACTTGTTTTCTTGTGTTTCTTCTCCTCACCTACATTTAGGTAGCTTCATCATCCTTCATTATACATTTGTATGTAACAAAATCTTGCCTCTTAGTTTTTAGTTGGCAGGTCTAAAGAGTCAGATTAAAAAAAAATATTTGTATTTTCTCTGCTTGCGTCTTTTTTGTTTTAATTTAAATCTTTGATTTTTTTTTCATAGCTCAAACGAGTTTATTACGATTTACAAAATTATATTTGTTGTCAATATATTTCAAGAAATATTTTTTGTACCATTTATTACCACTCCTTACTATTCGGGTCCCACTAAAGATCACTTTTGTTTTGACTCAATTCAAAAAAAAAAATTGCACAAAAGAAACGAGTTTATCGTGTTCTATTGTAATCTCAATAAATTTGACAAAAACAACGATGAAGAAATATGATCAATAATTGTTATTATATTCCTACTATAATTTATAAAATCATTCTATATTATAATATATTCATATCCTCATTATAAACTCTTTTATATAAGCTTATCTAATATATCAAGCATTACCGATACAAAAGTTACTTCGGTTGACATTTCTAAAGCTGGAGCCAGCATTATTTCATTATTATTTATTACTTTATCAGAAGCAAATGTAATATCATTATTAGTAATTATTTGTTTGAAACTCACACTAATTCAATTTTAATCTACAAATTGGATCAAAAGATTGTTAAATCCCTCCACTTGTTACTGGCTTGCTCCGGTGTATACGACACGCATGTGCATAAGCAGAGAACATTAAAATATATCTGTATTTCATGTTTTTGGGAGGATAGTCGCATTTACATTAAATGCTAAGTTCAACTGTACTTGACGCAACAGAAATGACTCGTAAGTCGAATCTGACAAATCGATTGTTCATTATAAAATTAAAATACTTTTGTCCTCTACTGTATATTTGTGTTTGTAGTCTACAATTGATAGAAAATGAGACTTGATGCTTTGAAAACCGAATCTAAATTCAATTAGGTAATTGAAATTATCAAAATTTCAAAATCTCTTGAGATATTGAGAATAATGATTCGAGAATAATTACACATCTTTTACCCCTTAAACTCTTGAATGTTTGACTTGAAATTCATCGTCTCTCACATTATTTTATGCTAGTTTGTGTTATTTTTGTTATGTTTCAGATCCTAGTATGTGAGGGAAGGCCGATGACGAGTTTCTGGACGAATGGAGATGCCACTCCTCGAGTTCAAGCACATGCACCTTTCGTTCATTGCCACACAAAATAGGGTCCATATTCAATAGTTTTGTGGCCCAGAAAGCCTTGTACTCTAGCTCTACGGGCAAATGGCAAGCCTTGCCATACACCAATTGGTAAGGCGAGACGCCTATTGGTGTTTTGTAGGCCGTGCGGTACGCCCATAGAGCATCATCGAGTTTTGCCGACCAATCCTTGCGGGATTGATCCACGGTCTCTTCTAATAACCTTTTCAGTTTCCTATTTGATAACTCAACTTGTTCACTAGTCTGAGTATGATAGGCCATTGACACCCGATGCCATAGCAATCAAGGAGTCTGTCGAATTGCCCCTGAAAATGGGTTCCTCGGTCGCTAATGATGGTCCTTAGGGTCCCGAACCTTGAAAACAGCTTTTTAAGGAATCCACAGACTCGTCTTGCATCACTGGTGGGGAGAGCTTGAGCCTCAACCCAAAGACGAGGGGAAAGGACCCATGAAGTCGATGCCCCAAACATAAAAAATCTCACAAGTAATAGAAATTGTTTGGGGCATCTCGTTTCGGTTAGAAACATTATCTGTCATTTGGCAGCTGTCAGCCTGTCACAATCGCTCACAAATTTCTAGGCATCCCGGAAAAGGTTTGGCCAAATAGAACCCCGACTGGAGTACCTTCCTTGCAGTTCGGTTGCCCCCGTGATGGCCTCCAGCTGGTCCCGTGTGGCAGTGGTTTAGGCTATCCATCATTTCCTTCTCTAGTATACACATCCGAATGACCCCGTCGGCCCCGATCCGAAAGAGGTGGCGATCATCCATAAGTAGCATTGGAGGTCGGAGAAGAACTTCCTTCTCTCATGTGTATTCATCCCCTTGGACAGTTTCCCTCCAACCAGATAATTTGCGAAGTCGGCAAAACACGGTGTGACACTCTCCACAACGGCGAGGGCGAATAATCGTTCATCGGGGAAGGTGTCATTTATCTCTCTATGGGAGTTGCCCCCACCTGGTATTTCAAGTCGCGAGAGGTGGTCAACTCTTGAAGAAGCAGGATCCATCGGATTAGTCGGGGCTTGGCGTCCGCCTTGCTCATCAAGAAGCGAATGGCGGAGTGGTCGGTGTAGACAATAACCTTTGAGAGCACCAAGTAAGATCTAAATTATTGAAAGCGAAGATCAATGCCAACAACTCTTTTTCGCTAGTTTTGTAGTTCTCCTGAGCATCATTAAGCGTCTTTGAAGCGTAGCAAATAGGTTGGAAATGCCTACCCAGCCTTTGCCCCAACACCGCTCCCATTGTATAGTCACTAGCGTCACACATGAGCTCGAAAGGAAGAATCCAATCCGGCGAGACCATTATGGGGGCATCTGTGACCTTCGCCTTGAGGATGTTAAAAGGCCGCAAACATTCATTTGTGAAAAGGAAAGGGGCATCCTTCTCCAACAGTTTGGTCAGGGGTAATGCAATCTTCGCGATATTCTCGATGAACAAACGGTAAAACCCAACATTTTCAAGGAAGCTCTTGATGCCCTTGACCTTGGTTGGAGGAGGGAGCTTGCTTAGGGTCTCAACTTTGACTCGGTCCACTTCAATTCATCTCTTGCAGATTTTCTGACCCAACACAATGCCCTCTAGTAGCATAAAATGCGAATTCTCCCAGCTCAAAGCTAGATTGGTTTCTTCGCAACGTTCAAGGACCTTCTCCAAGTTGGCAAGCCAGTGAAGAGATGAATCTCCGAAAACCGAGATTTCTTCCATGAACACCTCCATTATCTCCCCCCCCCCCCCCCCTCGAGCTTATCGAAAATGGCTACCATGCATCTCTAGAATGTTGTTGGCGCATTGCACAATCCAAACGGGATGCGCCTGTAGGCAAATGTTCTGAAAGGGCATGTGAATGTAGTCTTGGCTTGATCTTCCGAGGAAATTGGGATCTGGAAGTATCCTGACATCCCTTCTAAGAAGCAGTAATAAGCATGTCCAGCCAGCCTTTCCAAAATTTGATCGATGTAGGGCAAAGGGAAATGGTCTTTCCGAGTGGCGTCGTTCAATCTTCTATAGTCGATGCATACCCTCCATCTTGTCATTGTTCTTGTTGGTATAAGCTCTTCCTTCTCATTGGCCACCACCGTCATTCCTCATTTCTTAGGAACCAACTGAGTTGGGCTCACCCGCTGACTATCCGAGATGGGGTAGATAATCCCAGCATCCAATAGTTTAATCACTTTTGTCTTCACCACTTCTTCCAGATTAGGATTCACTCGCCTTCGCAGTTGTCGAACTAGTTTGGCACCTTCCTCCAAGTTTATTTTGTGCGGGCAAAAAGTCGGTCCAAACCCTTGGATATCTGTGATCTTCCATGCTATCGTCCTCTCATGA